AAGAAAAAAAAAAAAGAAAACTAGGCAGTGGCTTAATGCCATAATCCCAGCACTTTGGGAGGCCAAGGTAGGCAGCTTACTTGAGGCCAGGAGTTCGAGACCAGCCTGGCCAACACGGCGAAACGCTGTCTCTACTAAAAATACAAAAATTAATCAGGCATGGTGGTGTGTGCCTGTAATCCCAGCTACTTGGGGGGCTGAGGCAGGAGAATTGCTTGAATCTGGGAGGCAGAGGTTAAAGACCCTGTCTCAAAAAAAAAAAAAGAAAGAAAAAAAGAAAACTAGGCTGTGTGAAGGGTGAAGGTGGCTCATGCCTATAATCCCAGCACTTAGGGAGGCTGAGATGGGAGGGAGGATACTTGAGCCCAGGAATTTGAGACCAGCCTGGGTGACATAAGGAGACTCCATCTTTTAAAAATAAAAAAAAATAGGGGCCGGGCGCGGTGGCTCAAGCCTGTAATCCCAGCACTTTGGGAGGCCGAGACGGGCGGATCACCAGGAATTTGAGACCAGCCTGGGTGACATAAGGAGACTCCATCTTTTAAAAATAAAAAAAAATAGGGGCCGGGCGCGGTGGCTCAAGCCTGTAATCCCAGCACTTTGGGAGGCCGAGACGGGCGGATCATGAGGTCAGGAGATCGAGACCATCCTGGCTAACACGGTGAAACCCTGTCTCTACTAAAAATACAAGAAAATTAGCCGGGCGAGGTGGCGGGCGCCTGTAGTCCCAGCTACTCGGGAGGCTGAGGCAGGAGAATGGCATGAACCCGGGAGGCGGAGCTTGCAGTAAGCCGAGATTGTGCCACTGCACTCCAGCCTGGGCCACAGAGTGACACCCTGTCTCAATATCCCTCACCACCACCCCCCGCAAAAAAATTAAAAACAAAAAAAATGTCAACTATTAAATTCTTAGTAAACATTTTCCTTTCATAGAAAATACAGAATTTTTGCATTCACTTTTCACTTTGAATCAGCGTTTTTTCTCGGTTTGGAAACAATCCTGACGAGAAACAATTTGTTTGGAAATTGTTCCAGGTTTTTTTTGCTGTCAGAGAATTGGATAAATAGCCTATGTCATGGGATAATTACTATAAAGAAATGAAGCTTGACAGTGAAGTGAGAGATTTGAAAAAATACAGTTAATAAGCAAGGTGAATTACTACCCTGTTTGTAAATATGGATACATTTTCAAGAGTGAAAAAAAGGAAGTTGATACCATTTATGTTAAATGTAACCAAAACATGTTGCATGTTACCTGGCTAAATGTAAATAAATATACATAAAACAAGTGGACTAGAAGGCTGCACAGAGTGGGAGCTCTGGGACTAGTGAGAGCCTGACCCACCTGGAGCTGGAAGGGGCCAGAGAGCTAGAGTTCCCTGTTCTTATTTAAAAATCTTCATGTCCTCATGTATTTGTGTAATTTAGAAAAGAATGTAAACAACAGATATGGGAAAGATGAACACTGGTGAATTCTGTGCAGCGGGAGCGTGGCGGGTGACAGATATGGGAAAGATGAACACTGGTGAATTCTGTGCAGCGGGAGCGTGGCGGGTGGCAGATATGGGAAAGATGAACACTGGTGAATTCTGTGCAGCGGGAGCGTGGCAGGTGACAGATATGGGAAAGATGAACACTGGTGAATTCTGTGCAGCGGGAGCGTGGCGGGTGACAGATATGGGAAAGATGAACACTGGTGAATTCTGTGCAGCGGGAGCGTGGCGGGTGGCAGATATGGGAAAGATGAACACTGGTGAATTCTGTGCAGTGGGAGCGTGGCGGGTGACTGTTATTTTCTTTATACTTTTAGGTATGTTTCCAACCATCAAACCAAAAACAAAAAAAAGATCCTTAATCTTAACAGGAAATAGCTGTCGTTATGAGTGTTATTTCTATTCCCTGTTTTCATAGAAAATGTGGACACAGACTTGCCAGGCAGCCTGGGGCAGAGTGAAGAGAAGCCGGTGCCTGCTGCGCCTGTGCCCAGCCCGGTGGCCCCGGCCCCAGTGCCATCCAGAAGAAATCCCCCTGGCGGCAAGTCCAGCCTCGTGTTGGGTTAGCTCTGACTGTCCTGAATGCTGTCGTTTTGTCTGTTTTCTCCATGCTTGTGAACTGCACAACTTGAGCCTGACTGTACATCTCTTGGATTTGTTTCATTAAAAAGAAGCACTTTATGTACTGCTGTCTTTTTTTTTTTTTCTTTTTTTTCTTTTGAAGAACAGGTTTCTCTCTGTCCTGACTCCTGGGTCTGTGGGCCGTGGCATGAGTGTTTTCTAGTAGTAGATTGGAGGGAAAGCTTTGTGACACTTAGTACTGTGTTTTTAAGAACAAATAATTTGGTTCCAGATGTGTTAGAGGATCTTTTGTACTGAGGTTTTTAACACTTTACTTGGGTTTACCAAGCCTCAACTGGTCAGACCATGAACAGTCCCCAGGCACCGTTCCTGCCAGGCCTCAGCACAGGGAGTCTCTCCACAGAGCCGCCTTGGTGTTGCCCTAACTTGCCAGTGGCCTTTGCTCAGAGCCTCCTCCTGTGCCATGTGAACAATGAAGAGGCCTGTGCCTCATGCCTTGCCGCCTGCAAAGCAAAGAAACTGCCTTTTATTTTTTAACCTTAAAAAGTAGCCAGATAGTAACAAGACTGGCTGGCTGATGAGCAGAGCCTCTGCTCTCAGGCAGAGGAAGGCTTGGATGTACAATGAAACTGACTGGAACTAAGAGCAGTGAAGCAAGGGAGGCAATCACACCGAAGTGGGCCTTCATCCAGGAACGGGATCCCACAGGGGTGTTTTTTTAAGTAACTTGATGCTGTGTGCATGATGCTGGTGCTTGACCGTGAAAGGAAAGTCTCATCCTTAAAATGTGTGTTGTACTTCACAATCCTGGACTGTTGCTTCAAGTAAACAATATCCACATTTTGAAACATTGTGTACTGTGTCTTCTTTTTGAGATAGTTTCAGTGTTCTCTCTGGTTAGATGCTTTTCTTTGTCACTATAAATCCTGCCCACTGATTGGATGAGTCATTTGAAGTTAAATAGCCAGATGTGCCTGTAATTAGCTACTTGGGAAGCCAAGGCAAGAGGATGCTTGAGCCCAGGAGTTTGAGGCTATCCTGGGCAACATAGCGAGACCTCCTTAAAAAACAAACAAAAACAAGTTAAAACAGATGAAGACCCAGAGAGAAGTGGGTTTCTTTCTGAAGAAGTCTCTAAAGTAGGTTAGACTCTTCTACCTCCCCATTGTTCTGGGCAGTAACATTTTAAAGTGTTCTCTAAGACTGGGCAACATGGTGAAACCTCATCTCTACCAAAAATAGCCAGGTGTGATGACACATGACTAGTCAGGAGGCTGAGGCAGGAGGATTGCTTGAGCCTGTGAGATCGAGGCCGCAGTGAGCCACGATCGCACCACTGCACTCCAGCCTGGGTGATAGCAAGACCCTGTGTCAAAAAAAGTGTTCTCCAACTTTAAATATGTGGGGATTTCTCCCCACCAGCAAGCAAGCAGTTCTGCAGTGGATACCAGCTAGATGTCCTCCAATTTTTTTTTTTTTTTGGATACAGAGTCTTGCTCTGTCGCCTAGGCTAGAGTGCAGTGGTGTGATCTCAGCTCACTGCAAGCTCTGCCTCCCGGGTTCACGCCATTCTCCTGCCTCAGCCTCCACTGTAGCTGGGACTACAGGCCCGCCACCTCGCCCAGCTAATTTTTTGTATTTTTATTAGAGACGGTGTCACCGTGTTAGCCAGGATGGTCTCGATCTCCTGACCTCGTGATCCGCCCGCCTTGGCCTCCCAAAGTGCTGGGATTACAGGCGTGAGCCACCGCTCCTGGCCCGGTTCAGCATTTTCTAGACGGGAGTAGGTAAGCCATGTCAGTTCCACATAAAGTCCTGAGTACAGTCCTGATTACCTATGTTTGATCAAAATCATCTTTCCGGGGGAAACCACGCTGAAGCTCCCATGTTTCAAGCCAACTCTAGTGTGAATTAGCTCTTAACCAGCTAGACTTACACAAAGCAGTTAACAGATTCATTTCACTTTGTAGTCCTCAAGGGACTGTTCCTGCCCCACTCACAGACGATATCAATCCACTGAGACTGCCGCACTCACAGACGAAATCAATCCACTGAGACTGCCGCACTCACAGACGAAATCAATCCACTGAGACTGCCGCACTCACAGACTGTACTTCACAATCCTGGACTGTTGCTTCAAGTAAACAATATCCACATTTTGAAACATTGTGTACTGTGTCTTCTTTTTGAGATAGTTTCAGTGTTCTCTCTGGTTAGATGCTTTTCTTTGTCACTATAAATCCTGCCCACTGATTGGATGAGTCATTTGAAGTTAAATAGCCAGATGTGCCTGTAATTAGCTACTTGGGAAGCCAAGGCAAGAGGATGCTTGAGCCCAGGAGTTTGAGGCTATCCTGGGCAACATAGCGAGACCTCCTTAAAAAACAAACAAAAACAAGTTAAAACAGATGAAGACCCAGAGAGAAGTGGGTTTCTTTCTGAAGAAGTCTCTAAAGTAGGTTAGACTCTTCTACCTCCCCATTGTTCTGGGCAGTAACATTTTAAAGTGTTCTC